CTCTTTTAATAATCTGTAAACAATGTCAAAGTGAGTAAATTACAGAAGGAGTCAAGTGTAATCAAAGTAAACTGTTATAATTGATATTCAAGAATTAAGTTGAATATAAAACTCTTATCTAGTAAGGAAATTATATTACTTATATAGAACTTTCTTACTTCTAGATCTAGTTAGATTTAGATCTATTCAGATCTAAAGTCTGAACAGATCTAGATCCCCCTAGATCCTCCTCACGTGATCTCATCATATGAGTTTCTACTGTTACGTGACCTCGTCATATACTTCCATAGTTCTCTGTAGTAATACAGCTCATTACCTGAGCTTCAAACTATAAAGTTAATATTCGTAATATATATCTTCTAGTATTTTAAAGTTTTAATTATAGTTATAAATTCTTTTTTATAAATATCGTAGTTCTATTTAACTAGCGAGTATTTCTCGGAATAGTAAATTACAAAATATAGTTTTCTATTCTTATTTAACTGAAAGTATATAGTATTTATAATAGTGTCCGAAATATTAGTTTCGACTATATTCAGCCGATTTTCATAAAAGTTCGTTATAATAAGTTCTTATATATATTTATCTTTCAATTCTTATATAACTACTCTTTCTTCTTTTTTTATAATAAATAATATATTCTTTTTCGTAAAATATATAAATAGTACAGAGATATTTGAGTAATTCTTAATAAATTATCTTGAAAAGTTCCCGAATTCTAAGAATAATTAGATATCTTTAACGTTCTGTAATTCAAGTTAATCTTTGATTTGTTAGATCTTTTCTAAATCGATATTTATTTCTTTTAGTCAGATTATATAATTTAGAAACGTAGTTTCTATAACTCCGAATTCGTACTTTTCTAGTTTTAGTTTGAAGTCAACTTTCGTAAGTACTTTTATATAACAGTCTACTAATAACTTACTTGTCGTAATAGTAATCGGTTTATGTAAAGTTTCTGTTATATAACAAAGTAAATCAGTTAATTACTTTTAATAATTATAAAAATGAAGTAGTTTTAGTAAATCAAAGTTGAGATCAAGTTCATTAATCAAGTTGAACACGAAGCTTTTATCTAATAAAGAAATTATATTATTTATATAGAACTTTCTTATTCTTAGATCTAAGTAGATATTAGAAGTCAGAGTTCGATCTAGTAGATCGCGATTTTATTTTTAAAATCCTCTCGATCTATACTATGTGATTGTGTTATATGATTCTTGCTGTCACGTGACTTCGTTATATACTTCTATAGTTCTCTGTAGTACTACTGTGTATTACCCGAACTTCAAGCTATAAAGTTAGCGTTTGTAACACTATTCTCTATATAACTTAGTATAGTCCTTTAGTTTTAAAAGTTATATCGAAAATATCGAACGTTTAGTATAACTTTCTTTTTCCTTCATTATATTACTCGATCGTTCAAGAAAACTTAGAAAGCGATATAATCTAGCTAATCAGATTATAGTCTATAGAAACGAGATACTTCGTTGTTCGAATTACACTTATCACAGTAAGACTTATATAGTTCTAAATAAACAGTCAAAGAAGTGCAGCGAATACGTTTGTCGTAGTTGTAAATACAATGTAGTAAACTTTTCTGAAAGTGAATAGGAAGTCTTTAATTAAGTTGAAGAACGTTTTACTTTCGAGACACAGATAACTTAGGAAGTTGTAGCTACTGTTATAACTAAGTTGAACTATCTAAAACTTCAGTGTAACTAGTTTAAGAAGTGTAGTTCAGAGATACTCTGTCGAGAGCTCTAGTCTTTCGACGAGTTAGATGAAGTAGAAAAGAAAGAAAAAGAGGAAAAAGAAAAGGAAGTCTGTCGTGAAACGGAGTCGCAGCAGCTAGCTGCTACGACTAGTAACTTAAGTAGTAGCTTTTCTTTCGACTTCAGTCTTTTACTAAGTTCTGATAACTTTGTCTAGGAAACTCTTAGTTTTACTAATAGAACTCTTCAAATATTTAATAATAGTCGAAATAAATTCTAAGTTCTTATATATTTTCCGAATATAAATAATTTAACTATTTAATTAAATATTTTATTTTACTTTTGATTTATTTATAGTCTAATATCTATTCGACTTCGTATTCAACGTTTAAGTTAACTAGTTCTATTTTAGTAATTAGTACTAATAATATATTTAGTAATATTAATTCGAAAAAAGAAATATAGAAAACTAAGAAAATATTTATTGTCTTTAGTAGAATAAACTTATAATTCAGACGTTCTTTGAACTTCTTAATTTTAAATAGTTTTAATTTCTTATAATTTAGTTTATTGTTTAGTTATTTAGTTTTAATATTCTTTCTAAGTAAATAAACTCTATCTTCTTCTTATAGTATTAGTTTCTGACTATACTTCGAATTATAGTACAAAGTACTTTTCTCTATAATAAACTGAAGTTCGCTATTTAGTTCTTTATATAAATCTTTAATTTCGTTTATTTAGATTCGTACTAACTAGTTATCGACGTCTGATATCTGAGTTTCGTGATAAACACTGATGTTATAATTGTAATTAGCAAAGAATAGTAATACTTTTATTATATCTGTAATTATACTGTTATATATAAATATAGTAAATAAGAGTAATAATACTCAGTTGTTTTATTTATAACTAATATAATAACGTAAATATACTTTGATTATCTAGTTCATTCTTTCTATTCTATTATTTGTTTATATATAGAATACAATTAATAGTTTTCTTTTAACTTCTAAATAAATAGTTAAAGTAGTCTAAAACTTAGATATAAAGAACTTATCTCGGTTAGAGATAATTTCTTCTAGTATTTTATATTTTATTATAATTTCTCGCAAGAAAGCGAATATAAATTCTTCAGTTATACTAGATTCTAAATATAGAATAACAATTATATATTTCGTAAACTATTCGATAATAACTAAAATTAAATTATATATTACTTTTATTATTAAATTTTTAGAAAGTAGAAGTTTAATAATAAAGTTCTATTAGATTAATTTCTATAGTTATTCTAAAATAGAAATAGTATTTATTTTCTTATAAAATATATATCTAGTATTTTTATTATAAATATAAATATTATATTCCTCTATTATTTTTTTAACTAAAATGTTAATTTTATTAATATAGTAGTATTATCTAATTTACTAAAAAGTTCTACTAATTCTTTGATATCTATAAACTAATATTATATAATATTTGAAAATAAATTCCTTTGTGAATATATCTAAGACTTATAATTTCTTGTTAATATAATCTATATATTCTAAATCTTTTTTTTAGATTTAGATAATTTTGTTATTTTATAGTTTCTTTATTTTCATAAAAGTAGTAATTTCTTTAGTATTAAAAATAAAATCTCTGTTCTTGTTTTCTTAAAAGATAGTTACTTTTTTATAGACTTTGTTTCTTTTGTATTTAGACTACTTATTCAAAGTATTAACTTTAAAGTTATTAATTCTTTTGATATATTTAATTATCAAATTAAACTGAGAAAGTTCTTCTATTTATTATATTATTTGTCGATTATCTAAGACTTTTGTAGTTATAAAAATATAGAGATTCGTATAGTTAATATATATAGTAATTAGAAACTTTATACTTTAGAAGTATATTTTCTAGTATTTCAAAACTTTGACTATAACTATAAGTTCTTTCTTATAAATATTATAGTTCTATTCAATTAATAAATATTTCTCGGAATAGTAAACTATAGAGTATAGTTTTCTGTTCTCGTCTAACTGAAAGTATATAACGTTTATAATAATATCTGAAATATTAGTTTCGATTATATTCAGCTAATCTTTATAAAAACTTATTATAATAAATTCTTATATATATTTATCTTTTAATTCCTATATAGTTACTCTTTCTTCTTTTTTTATAATAAATAGTATATCCTTTTTCGTAAAGTATATAAATAATATAGAGATATTTGAATAATTCTTGATAAATTATTTTAAAAAGTTCCCGAATTTTAAGAATAATTAGATATCTTTAACGTTCTATAACTTAAACTAATCTTTAATTCGTTAGATTTTTTCTAGATCGATATTCATTTCTTTTAGTCGGATTATATAACTTAGAAATATAGTTTCTATAATTCCGAATTCGCACTTTTCTAGTTTTAATTTAAAGTCAATTTTTGCAAGTATTTCTAATACTAATTAGATATTGTGGTAGGGCAGACTTACCACCTGTCACGTGTACGATAACTGCTTTTCGGAGCTTAGTTCTTCCGGGGCTGGGCACATGAAGTGCGCTTTGCCGAACAACTGTAGAATAGCATACTTCTTTACATATACACATTTTTACCTACCTAAAACTCGACGCACTTGATTGTTTACTGTACATTTGACTGTACATTCTACTCCGTTACATTGGTGATCGATACAGGGAATTCTAGTATAACAATCAGTGAGTCGCAGTCGAGGGATAAGTAGGGGTAGTATAGAAGTAAGAGTATCATCTAGTTACAATTCTAGATTATATAGTAGATTCAGCGACGAGAGATATAGAGAGCGACGTGAGATACAGACAGCGATAATGGAAAGGAGCTCGGGGCGACTCGGGCAGAGAGTAAAAAAGGGGGAGATTATATGTCTTACTTTAGGCCGCCACGATGGAGATACTAGTAGAGCACAAGCAGCGATAACGACGAAAAGACAAGGGGAACAGATGAATACGAAGAAAAGACAAGTAATACGACCGGAGAAAAAGGAGGAGCAGGAAAAGAGGAACAAGGGCGACGAAGAACTAGGGGTAACGAAGAACAGGGAGATATCGGACCTTGCTATAAGAGTAGCACAGGAGCTGTGTATAGTATTACTACTTGTAGCACTTTTGCTAACTTCAAGAATTAGTAGTCAACTGATGAGTTTGTTTACTTTCGATCTTATACCCCTATCTGAAAACGACGGACTGTCTTCCGAAGGTGCTCTTGCTCCGAATACGGAAAGCGAACAAGAACCGAGAAAAACAATGGCGAACATAGTCTACTAGGCGGCGATGCTGGCGCCAGGAATGCTAGGGGCTCTATACTTTGAAGGAGTGAATGTTACGGAATTCCTCGAACGATACGGAGATCAGTGCGAGGATGCGAATCTGAAGGAGGGGGAGAAACTGAAGCGACTGCTGAGATACTGCAGTATTGCTATTGGGCAGTACGTGAAGGCGATGGCAGAGTGGAAAAGGGGGGTGTGGGAGATACTGGAGAATGTACTGATGGAGGAATTCAAGGATCAGGACAGCTTTCAGCAGATGAATTCACGGTCGTTCCTAGAAGCTCTGAAGAGCAAAAAGCGGACGAGTGAAGACGATGTTCGTCAATTCATCAGGCAGTTTACGGCTATCTCAACAGTATTAGTAAACAAGAAAGAGTTAGAAGAGTATACAAGAGGCATATGGTTTCTAAACGGGCTGCTGGAGGATGTCCGAGGCAAGGTGATTCGGAGGGGCAAAGTTACTATGAATAAGCCGGAGACGGTAAAGTTCAGTGAGATGGCAAAGACAGCAACAGAAATCTACACGAGTAACAAGAGTATACGCGAGTTCGCCGACAGCAAAGTAAAGCAAGATGGGCTCAGCGAGCTGGTCGACAGACTAGGTGAAGCGAGCGTTCCGCCAAGACCGGAGAATATATTGGCTGCGCTTGTGGTTGCCTCAAGAGTAAGGCTGTCCAAGGAGGTCATGGATAACCTGAGTAATATGTTCAAAGCGATAGCACTGTCGGCGCGGGCTACGGCGGAGGCGGATATGATGGGCGGAGCTATGGCAGGAGGGGGGCGTGCCGCTCGATTTAACCCGCCCAGCGGGGGAAATCAAGCGGCTGCCTACCCAGCGGGGCTAGCCGGCAGAATCAATGCGGCCGAACTGCCGCGAGGGGGGCAGGCAGGCTGGTACCTGCAGCAGATGCCTGCGGCGGCTGTAAATGCAGCCATGGCAGCAAGGTCAAAGCCGATATACTGTTTCTACTACCTCGAAAGCGGGCACTTCCGGAGAGAGTGTGATGATTTTAGGGGCGACGAAGGAAGGGGCTTTGCTTATGAGAGACCCGACGGCCTACTCTACTACGGTAGGAGGGGTGATGGTGGGGCGAGCGTTCCTTGGCAGAGGGGCGAGCGAGGGCGGGATACTGTACGGCAGGTTTGGGGAGGAGCAAGCGCTGCGGCGGAACCCCCAAAGCAAGTTTCCGGCATGCCTAGGCAGGACGCGAGACCAGCGGCTGCTCCGAGGAAGGTGCCGAGAGCGCCGAGTGCAAACGTCTCTTCTATGTCGGTTGTAGACTTGGAGTCCTCGGATGTAGAGGAGGGCGATAGTGATGGGTTCGTCATAGTGGCGGGGGTACAAGGCAGGCAGACAGACAGGGCCGAGGAGAAGTGGCAGAACCCTAAGAGGGTGCTGCGGGAGCGTGCGAAGAGGGAGGCTAAGATGGCTGTTCTAAAGTTGCCAAGGGCTGGCGAGTGGAGAAAACCGCAGGGTGAGGGGGCAGAGACAGCTGACGAAGAGAGTGTAATTGAAGAGATGGATATCGACAAAGCGTAGACGGAGGCGCTCAAGAAGCTGGGTCCCAGAGTGACGCGGAAGGTCGAGAAGTATCTAGACGTCCTGAAAAGGGATGCAGACCCTATGGAACTTTTGGACAAAGTGTTCGACAATGAGTTAAAGAGTATCACGGGGCGAGAGGTGATCGTATACTCCGATCTACTGCAGAAACTCCTGTTCAAGAATATGGTACCGTTTACAAAAGTCGAACTCCCGGCTAGCGAGGAGTAGGAGTCTGGGACAGCAGGCGACTTTGTCCAAGTATTATCCGCTTTGATAGAAGAAGTTGAAAGGCCCTATGTAGTGCGGAGTCCGAAGATCAGAGTCAGGATCGGAAACGTCGAAGTCCTAGCTCTAGTCGACTGCGGTGCGGAAGTTGATATTATGACGAGCAAGGTAGCTGAGCTTACTAGCCTGCCTGTTCGTCCGCGCCCGAGATTGGGGATAGTGGGACACCTTGGGGATCACAAAGGATTCGATGGGCTGTGTGAAAACGTTGTAGTACGGATTAGCGGTGTTGAAGTCGTCAGGAACTTCTTTACGCTCTCAAAGGCCTAGCACGACGTGGTACTTAGCCAGCTGTTTATTGTTATGAGTCTACTGTCTTTCTCGTATCGGGACAGGTAGCAGTTTGTAACGATAGTCAATGATGCCTGGACGAAGCAAGTGACAGTACGTGTAGCAGGAATGTCAGACCTTCGCACTGAGGCTGATATCTTTCCGGAAAACGAGTAGCTGGGGCCGAGCCGGTGAGCGGTTCCGGCGTGGGAGGGAGTACCGGGGAGGCAAGGCAAGTGGGGGGTGTGGCTCGATTTAACTTGCCCGGCAGGGGAAATCGAGGGAGCAGCGCGGCGCAAAAAGACGCTAGGCTTGTGCGTGTCTTTTCGGCAAGTGTCGGGGGCGCAGGGGCGAGTGTTGTATTTTCACGGGGGACAGACTTGACGAGCTTTACTCAGGCTAATTCCTTATTTCCAATTGCTGGCGTTTGGGGTGTATATAAAAGAAAGGCGGACAAGGTAGTCCCGGTAAAGGAGGGCGTGTTAGATGGCTCGGTGCCTGGAGGCGCGTTGGATTGGAAGGCTAGGAGGATAGAGGAAGCTCAGGGGAGGGGCCCGGTGGAGCTACCTAGTTCGTGGGACAGGTGGCTTGAGCCGAAGTTTTCGGACATACGGAGAGGGGAGAGGCTGCTGCCGGAGAGGCTGGAAAAGATGATTTTAGGGGAAGAGCTGTGGCCGAGAGAGAGGGATCTAATAGTGGAAATGCTGTTCAAGCGCGAAAAGGCAATTGCCTTCGATTTCTCGGAGTGCGGAAGGGTCAGTGGGGACGTGTGCCCGCTGCAAGAGATTCGCATAATACCGCATGAGGCATGGCAGTCGCCCGGATTCCCGGTACCAAAGTACCTACGGAGCCAGGTAGTGGAGATGCTTGAGGAAAGGATTAAAGCCGGGACCCTGGAATACTGCCACGGGCTGTACCGCAACCAGTGGTTCCTGGTCAAGAAGAAGAGCGGGGCTTATCGCATAGTTGATACTGCGATGAAGTACAATGCAGTTACAATAAGGGACGCAAATTTGCCGCCGAATATCGACGAAATATCAGATGATTTTGCAGGTTGCTAGATTACTTCATTGATTGACTTCTTTTCCGGATATGACCAACTTACCTTGCACCCGAATAGCAGGGATATTACAGCGTTTATGACCCCACTGGGACTATTGCGGCATACTACGTTAGTTCAAGGAGCTACGAATTCTGTTGTACAGTTTATTCGGGTAAGGCAGACAATCTTTAAAGACTATGTCCCGGCGAGGGCGAGGATATTCATCGACGATATCCCGGTTCTAGGGCTATACTCTAAGTACGGCGACGAAGAGGAAGTTCCTGGGATCAGGCGATTCGTACTCGAGTATGTTAAGAACCTTGATCTTGTTCTTGCGGATATCGAGAGAGCTGGGGCAACGATAGGGCCAAAGTCCCAGTTTGGAGTAGCAGGACTTAAGTTTGTGGGGTTCGTTTGTACAGCGGAGGGGAGATCCCCAGACAGTGAAAAGGTGATTAAGATCTTGGACTAGCCTACATACAACGATCAGACGGAAGTGCGGGCCTTTTTGGGCGTTTGTGTATATTACCGGATCTGGATCCTATCCTTTGCAACAAAGGCGGAGCTGCTCTATCAGCTACTAAAGAAAGGGGCGGTATTTGTTTGGATACAAGAACACGATACAGCAATGGACCAACTAAAGCTGGATCTTACAACTGCGCCAGTACTTGCTCGACTCGATGTTTCCAAAAACGCGGGCTTGATTATCCTTGGTGTTGATGCTAGTTTAAAGGGGTGGGGGATGGTCCTTATGTAGTTGGATGAGAACGAAAAACGCCACCTTACTAGGTACGACAGTGGGATCTGGAGCCCGGCCGAGCAGAATTATGACGCTACGAAGCGGGAGTGCAGGGGGGTCCTCAAAGTGCTGAAGAAAGTGCGGAACCTCCTTTATGGAGTGCATTTTGTGCTGGAGACAGATGCAGCTATGCTCGTAGCCCAGCTGAACTAGTCCGCCGCCGATCTGCCTGGCGCGCTAGTTACTAGGTGGCTCGCTTGGATCCGTCTTTTTGACTTTGAAGTAAGGCATGTGCCAGGCACGAAGCACACTGCTGCCGACAGCTTGTCTCGAAGGCCGGCGACGGGGGAGGAACTAAAAAGGGAAGAGCGAGAGGAGGATATCGACGACTTTATCGACGCGAGAATGGGGTCGGTGGAGGTGGTGCCGTATCCGCTAGTAGGGGTATGGCCGGCGAGTGTGGGGAGAGAGGGCTGGTTGCAGGGCGAGAGGTGGTCCCTGGACTCTCTTCTGATTGCTGAATTTCTATCGACACTCAGGCGCCTAGAGCGGGTTCATAAGTCGGACTTCAGGGAGTTTAAGACGCGGGCCCTCAATTACCTCGTGCAAAGGGGTGTCCTCTATCGACGAGCGAACAAAGGGCTGCTAATGAGGAAGGTGGTTGATTTGGAGGCAGAAAGGCAGTCGATTCTGCAAAGTCTGTATGATGAGTGCGGGCACAAAGGGCGGGAAGGCACATACCAGAAAGTGGCCGAGAGATACTTCTGGGATTCGTGCTACAGTGACACGAAGAAGTACGTATCTACGTGTGACCGCTGCTAGCTGCAGGATAGTACTAGGCTGGAGGAACTGCTGCACCCGACTTGGACAAGTGCGCTTTGGGCAAAAGTGGCACTGGATATTGTGTATATGCCGATGTGCCGGGGAAAAAGGTACTTGGTGATAGTAAGAGACGATCTGTCAGGGTGGCCGGAGGCGAGGGCACTTGCAAAGCCTGATTCGAAATCCGTTGCCGACTTCCTTTGGCAGGACGTGGTCTGTAGGCACGGAGTTTTTGGAAAGATGGTAGTCGATGGGGGGCCCGAAAACAAAGGGCTAGTTATAGACCTGGCTCAAAAATACTTGATAAAAAGAGTAGTGGTTTCCGCTTATAACCTGCCGGCAAATAGTATGATCGAAAGAGGGCATAAGCTTATCGTTGATGCTTTAGCGAAAATGACAGACGGGGAGCTAGGCCTGTGGAGAGACAACTTCGAAACAGCATTACTAGCGGATCGGGTGACTGTCAAAGCGACGACGGGCTTTTCTCCATTTTACCTTCAGCATAGGTCGGAAGCTGCGCTGCCAATTGAGACGAGGATCCCCACCTGGCGTACCTTCGACTGGGAAAATGTACAGTCAACAGCAGACCTCCTGGCACTGCGAGCGAGGCAAATTCAGCTCAGGGATGCCGATCTTGAGGAGGCCGCCGCAATGCAGAAGCGAATGCGTGCCCAGGGCAAAGAGCAATTTGACCGCACTAGGCGGATTCGTATTACGGGTATCAAGAGGGGGGATATTGTACTGCTTCATGACGCGCTGCAGGAGAAAGATATGTCATCGCGAGTCAAGCTGGGGTATAGGTGGCTGGGACCATTCAGGGTTGCGAAGGCGTTTCCGGACAAGGGAACGTACATGCTCGAAGAATTGGACGGCACTATGCTTAAGGGGACCTTTGCGGGCCGCCGACTCAAGGCTTTCAGGCGAAGGGGGGGGGTACTTGAGCCCGTGGAAATAGGCGGGATTGGCGAGGGCGATGCGACGCCTGATGCCGGGCACTTTGGGCCCGAGCGGGAGGCAGCCGAGCCCGAGCAGGAGACAATTGAGCATGCTTTAAGTGGGGACGACGAAGGGCCCGAAGATGAGAGGCTAAGGCCGCCTGTCACACGCAGACAGCAGGCAAGAGCGGATGATATGGAGAGGTAGAGGCGCCGGCGAGAGCAAATCCCGCAGAGGCGGAGGTTCGCGGTCGTCATAGATTAAACGAGAAATAAGCGAGGGCAAAAAAGGGGGGAGCTCGCGCATGCTCTTGATTTAACCCGCCCGGCGGGGGAAATCGAGGGGCACGCGCGCATCTGGCTTAGCGGACCGCCTAGCTTCTTCTTTTCGCACGTAGAGGTACTTTGCGCTGTGCTTTCCAACCTTCTATCGTATATATACGTTATATTTTATTTCTTTCGATTTTTTCCAGATAGAGCAAGGCCGAGGCGGCCTAATTTAAAAAGGGGGGGGATGCGGCTGCAAGATGCAGCGCGAAGATCACATTTAGTCACAGGCAGAGCGCGTACAATTTCATTTGTAAAAAGCAGATCGTTTCTCATTTATTCATATCCTGTAAAAAGCAAGGAAAGTAAGCGCAAGACCATATGATGCTTGGCATCATTAATCGACAGCAGGAGAGGCGGGGGCATCGGCATCAGCGGCTGCAGCTGTAGCGGCAGCAAGGCGACGGGAGACGCGGCGAGCGCTATGAACAGCAATAGCTGAGGCGACGCGAGGGTCCTCGACCTGGGCGGCGGCCGGCGAGCCAGGAGCAGTAGCGGGGAGCTCGGGGGAGGGGGTGCGGGTGCGGGTGCGAGCCGCAGAAGCAGCAGGCAGAGCGGCCGGCGAGCCAGAAGCAGCAGCGGGGAGATCGGGGGAGGGGGTGCGGGAGCGAATGGCGGCGGCAGCGACCGGAACTGCCGCAGGAGCAGCAAGCAGAGCGGCCGCGGGACCGGCAGGAACCAGAGGGGAGGTGCCCGGGGTGAAGAACGGCAGGGCGGGCGAAGAAACAGCGGAGCCGGAGAGATCAGCAGCAGCAGCAGCTGCGGCAGCAGAGAAGTCTGCGGGAGCGGGAGCAAGAGCAACTGCGGGAGCAGAAGCAGCAGCAGCAGGGGAAGCAACAGTAGAGGCGGGGGCGGCAGCAGGCGAGGCGGGAGCGGCGGCGGAAGCAAGGGCACGGCGGCGAGGTCCAAGGACAGTTCCAGCCATCACACCTGCATGGTAGAGACTGTTATAGCGCTCACCACCACGAAAAAGGAGAGACGAGATCCATTGCGGGTAGCCAGGGTGGTCCAAGATGGCTTGGCCGCCGAGAGGAGACACGCCGAGGGTGGCGTCGCCGCCATTCATGGGTTCGCCACGAATGGTGACGACGAGGCTGTCGGGACCAAGGAAAGCGGCGCCATGGTGCTGGCGGGGGGCCCGGAACCGCAGGTTAGACTGAAAGTGCATCCGGAAGTCACACACGTCTGTCTGCGTAATAACACTCTCAATCAAACCGTACCAGAGCATCCCGACCGCATAGTCGGACAGCTGGCGGCCATGGTTGGTCTCGTCGCGATGCATGTCAAGCACATGGACGGTGCCGGGGGCGGGGTCGAGCAGCTCGGCTCGGGAAATGGCGCGGGCTGTGGCGTGGGGTGCTATGATAATGAGGTACGGTGGTAGTGAGAATGGGTGCGATATATGAAAGAGTGTGAGTTACACAGCTGGATTCAGCAGGTGCCAAAGCAGTTAGCTGCAGGAAAAATAGAGGGAGGGCGTAAGTGTAACACAAACACTTACAGAAGTTATAAGGGTGACTGCGATAGGAAAGAAAAAGAAAAGAAAAGAGAGAGGAATAAGGGAGGCCGAAGTATTTATATCTTGCAGTCTCGAAAAGCGACTGTTCCAGCCCTATTGTTCGGTTTATAGTAATAGTAAGCGATCCCCTCAATAGCAAGCGAGCCCAAGGTCCTATTGTTCGATTCCTAACAATAGTAAGTGAATTGCTATTGTTGGCAGAATAGCGCCTTTGTTTACGCCGCCTTGCGAGCAAATAATAGAGCAAACAAACAAACAAGCCGGCGGTCAAACAAGCGGTTTACTTCACACGATATTGCCAGGAGAATAGCGGTTTGTTTACGAATATAAAAAGAGACGCGCCTGCCCACTTTTACAAACTTTCGCCCGTTTAGCATTCAAAGAAGAGCACCCCCAAGAAGCGCCATCGCACGCGTGTACATACAGATCTCACCTTTCAATACCAGTTAAAATCACATACACTCTCGCGTACGATGGAGAATTCGAGCAGAGATGTGCAGATGTCGGGGACAGCGGAGGAAGCTGCGCTGGCAGGTGGCCAGAGATTTACAAATGTGGAAGAGGTTAAGTTGTTCTTGGACAGTATTCTAGCGCCGGACAGATACTAAGCTGAAGCACAAGTGCTGGAGCAGATGATGAGTTACCACAGCAAGTCCGGGGAGCTTATCGAAGAGGTCTTCAGGCATGTAGAAAGGAGCAGAACATACCGGCTCCATATATCGGAAATCCAGTTCGCAGAGGAGTGGAGCGAGGTTCACGCAGTGATCCGAGAAAACAGCGCCCGTCGAAACCGCTTAGTGGAAACGTCCAATGCAACGAGAAAGAACTGGTCAAGCGACGAAGCAAAGCAATAGATCGAGAACTCTAGCCACAGTGCCAACTTTATTGCAGGGTGCAGGCAGCTGGCCAACATTATGAATTTCGACGAAGCTATCCTGCGTGTCAATATCGCAGTAGTAAACAGACTGAGCCGCCTGCGACGAGGAGTTTCCAACAAGAAGGAAGTCTTAACGGGAGATTTGGCTGCGGCCAGAAAGGGCAGCTCCGAGGAAGTGGCGGTCACATCACGACCAAAGCTGAAGGAGCTGGGCCTGCGAATTGGCAGGTGGGGTTTCGTGGAGGGGGGGGAGGATGCAAGCGAAGGGGCACTGGAGGAGGCGAGCGGTAGCGGGGCGGCTGGCGGGGTTTTGCCCGCGGCCGAAGGCAGTGACGTTGATTTAACCTGCCCGGCGGGGGAAATCGAAGGCCACGCGCGCAGACGCTCGGCCAGGCTGAGCGCCTCTGCGACATATGCTGTCGACTTCGAGGAGGATGAAGTGGATGAGGAGGAGCTGGGACGACTGGGGGGGGAGCTGGAGGATGTCGCCGGGATCATGGCCGACGACGAAGATGACGACAGCACCGGGGCGCCCGGGGACTGGAAGTGCGGCTGCAGTAAAGATGTGCCTTCCAGCTGGCAAACGATGGTGGTCAGCAAGCGCCTAATGAAACCCGGAGTCAGTATGAAACTTCTGGGCAAGATGGTGTCGTATAAGAGAGTGTGCTACCGCCACGGCCGCATGATGGCCAGCTACATGGGGCTCTGCACTAAACGACTCGGGGACGCAGATCTGGCGGTGCGACTTCGCACACTTTACGAAAAACGCCTGGAGATCGGCAAGCTGAAGACGGAGGAAGAGACCTTCCAATGGTTTCGTGTCGCCAACAGACCTGCCCGCCCGTCGGATGGCCTTGGGCCGTATAAGTTCATGCACAACCGTGCGCCGGGAGGCTTCCAATTCGACCAGGAAGAAATTTTGAGTGCTTGGGATGCGACAATTTTACTACGATGGCAAGCGGAGGGGTCAGTCATACATGACCTATTTGGGTGGTGGTTCACTTCACCACTTGGAAGTGAAATATACGATGAATTCAACATGTACCTCCACTATTTGCGGGAAATCAACGGCCGTAAAAACATCGGCTGGCTCCGGAACATGTTTTTCTCGGTGACGCAGCAACTGATGCGCCAGGACCCGGCATACTACATGTTGTATGCAGCTTTGCGACCCGACCGAGCTTGGAGGCTGGTTAGTTACCTATACTACGCGAAGTATAGTGTTCCCGGCGACGGGACCTACTTTTGCCATATAGATTTGAATATTCCGGACCTGCTGGCGAACAAGCGCGGGGTGGCTATGATCCAGGGCACCGTGTCCCTCGACGAGGAAGACGAAGAGAACTGCACCTTTATCTTGCCCGGGATGCAGCACAGACTCGGAGAGTGGTGGGAGAGGGTAAAGGAGCGGGGTCAAGAGACTTCCGGTTTCGTCCACCGCATTACGGACCAATTATTCACCAAGGAAGACTCGGAACTGTTGGGAGTGAGATGGAAGAAGACGCCCTGCCAACCTGGAGAGGTGCGCATTACCTTGCCATCAATTCCGCACGGAGCTACCGGGCCCACAACAAAAATCCGCCGCACTATGCTCCCCTGGTTCGTCGGGGTGCAGGATGACGAAAGCTCACTGGAGGTTGTAGAGGGAGGGACGTGGGAGGAGCTGGCGACAGCACACCGGGACTTCGTAGCCCCCAAAGCCACGCCATCTGGGTTGGCAAATCGATACGGAGCTATCCCCTACCGGTTCCCAGCCTGTGTGGAGCTCGCCGGGCTCGGGGCGGTATCAGATGCTCTTGTATGCAGGAGAAGATGGAGCTCGCCGGCGGTGGTAAGAGAGAGGGATGTCCTGCTGGGGAAGGACAGGGCTGCGGCCCATGAATTTATTAGGCGGTGGAGAGAGCATGCTATTAAGGCAGCTCTGGAGGCGTTTGCGGCAGTGAGGGAAGAAGAGAAGCGCGTGTTTGGAGAGAAGTCGTACTATTACTACAAGGAACGGCTCGAACTACTGGGCATTCCCATGCCAGCTGTAGTGCCGGACCCTGACGTATTGGGCGATGAGGAACTCGAGGAGGCAGGAGGCGAGGGGCTATTGTTTGCGGAGGAGGGTGAGGAGGGGGTAGGAGCGGACGAAATGGTGATGTAGTCGGGGGCCGACTACACTAGGGGGGGACGTATGTAGTGGGGCAGACTTACCACCTGTCACGTGTACGATAACTGCTCTTCGGAGCTTAGTTCTTCCGGGGCCGGGCACATGAAGTGCGCTTTGCCGAACAACTGTAGAATAGCATGCTTCTTTACACATACACATTTTTACCTACCTAAGGCTCGACGCGCTTGATTGCTTACTGTATACTTGACTGTACATTCTACTCCGTTACAATATATTTCTTATATTTATAAATATTCCTAGAATAAATCAAAATGTTGTCTAAATAATAGATAACGAACTTATTTAGATATTCCTATAGAATATTATTGTTCTAGTATTAATATATTACTAGTATATTAGTTAACTTAAATAATATAATTATATATTTGTATAATTCTAAAAGTATAAAGAAAACTGTTTTCTATTTGTGTTTTTCTTTGATCTTGATTAAGTTAAAAGTATTCTACTAATCGATTTTCGTGAATATCTTTACTTTAGTTAGTTTATTTTACAGATACTAAATATTAAATAACAGATATTAGTTTTATATTATAACGTCGTTTAACTTATAAAAATCATTATAAAGTTTTTTATTAAAATCTCTTTTCTTTTCTACTATTAATATATTTAATATTACTAATAATTTAAATAGTCGAATCTATTTTTTCTTTAATATTTTTTATATATATTCTTCTAATATTTTAGTAATATCGTAGTAATATCGTTGTAATTTTTCAGAAAATAACTATTACTTTTCTTTCAGATTAATTTCGTAGTTTTATAGTTAATATTCAAGTAAAGTATATATATTTTCTAAGTTTTCGAATAATCTCTCGAATTCTTTATACTATATAGAGATCTTCTTATTACTCTAATTAGTATCTTGTAGAAGACTTTTAACAAAGTGTTTTAGTATATTAGAAAAAGTAGTACTAACTTCTTTCTAGCTTTCTAGTTATTATGAACTTTTATAATAATATCGACTAAATTTCAAAGTCTCGTTAGTTTAGTCGATCTTAGAATTATACTCGTAAATCTAAGTTATTTCTAAAATAGTTTAATATTATCTTGTTAGTATAATATAGAATTATATATCTACTAAATAACTATCTTTCGTTTCTAGTTTTAAAAAGATAGTCTTCTAACTAATTACTTTGTTATTGTAATTTATTTATATATTATCTATTATTTATAAATTGTAAAATGTTATTCTAGTAAATAGAATATTCAATTTAGCAACAGTCGCAGAAGAAATATAGTTACTATTAATTCTAGAATTAATTATTACTTTGAATTTCTTTCTTTTAAATGTTACTTCGACGTTTATATAACTCTATTTTCCGACTATGTTCAGTTTAGAAAAGTCTCGTAATAGTTTATAGATTATAGTATTTCTAAATTGATCGTTCTATATCTAGTAGTTATTTTTTTATATTATTAATCGATATAATATATCTGTTCTGAATATATTAATTATTAGTTAGTAGAAGTTTTACTAAGTATATTCGTAGTATTAATTCAGAGTGAATACTACTTTTCTCTAGATTCTCTAGTAAAGTTTAATAATTAAAACTTCTTATATATTTCTAAGTTCTAAAATATCTACTAACTTAAGTAATTTATCTCTTAAGTTAATATTTTCAATAGTGACTTTTTCTGTCTTAGTTACTTTGAAAGTAACTTTCTCTATATTAATATAAATAACTAAATATATCTAATACTTTTCTAATTTGTTATTAATAGTTATTCCTGAAAGTATAAAAATATTCCTATTTTCTTTTCTTTATATATTACTATATTCAGTGATTTCGAGTAACAACTACTCTTCTTTTTCTTGTAGTATTGTTTCTATTTCTATATCTTTATTAGAAGTTGTTTATTTATTAAGTTTTTCAAGTTCTCTAGTCTTTTCAGAGATTAGTAGAGTTAAATCCTCTGTTGTTTGATATAGTAGAAGTATATAAGTTTACTAAGTCTCTATAGTTCTAAACTAACTATAAATATATAAATTCTCAAAATCTTCTTCAGTAAAAGGAATACAATAAATAATATTCAGTTGTCAGATAATATTAAGTTATTTAGACTTTCTTTTTTATAGTTTCTTTCTTTACTACTTCTTCTTTCGATAAAATATAGTTTAATATCCTAGAAGTCTATATTTATAATATAGTCTTTTTTCTTTTCGTTATTATTTCTCTTCTTAAGAAAAGTTAGTATAACAACTAATAACGTCTAATTCTATAAATTGTAGCTAGTAGTTATTCTTTCTAAGTTAGTTCTTTTTGTTATAACTAGAAGAGTAATTACTACACTTTTTTATTTATTATTTATAAAAACAATTATCGACTTTGATAACGAGATCGACGAGTTCTATTAAGTTATCTAATTAGTCGGTCTTTGAGATTTCGTCTTTTATTTAGTCTTTGAAGTTCTAATAATACTAATTTATTAGTATATTACTATTTTATTTTATATATTCTATATATTACTAAAATTCTACTATATAAATAACTGTAGAACTATGTTGTCTGAAATTACGAAGAATTCGTACTATATTACGTTTTTTATTTAAATTTCCGAAAACTCTATTAAAATATTTCTTAAATTTTATTTAGTTCCTAAAAATTTCTTTCGTATTAGTAGAATAACGAATAGAAAGTTGTTTATTCGTTATTCTATTATTTATATAGTCTTCTAAGAAAGACTCAATTTATTCGAAAACTTCTACTTTCAAGAAAATAGTTATTTAGAAGACTTACTCGACTTCTAAACTGAAATAACTAATATTGAATCTAATATAAAGTTTATATTATATAACAAAAGTTTTAATTTTAGAATATTCTCTTTTGAACGAATTAAGAAAAAGAACTTTGAAATCTTTGTCGATAAATCTTACAACTATTTAGATTAAAGCTAGAATTATAAGAAAGTTTATTACTAAGAAGTTAGTAGATGAAAATAATAGAGTTTATAGAATTATAATAATTTATTTATTTTAGTAAAGAAATATTTAAAATATAATAATCTACTGATAACTTACTTGTTATAGTAGTAATTAGTTTATATAAAGTTTCTATTATATAGTAAAGTAAGTTAGTTAATTACTTTTAATAATTATAAAAATGAAATAGTTTTAGTAAGTTAAAGTTGAAATTAAATTCATTAATCAAGTTAAATACAAAGTTCTTATCTAATAAAGAAATTATATTATTTATATAGAACTTTTTTATTTTTAGATCTAAGTAAATATCAGAAGTCGGAGTTCAATCTAGTAGATCGCGATCTTATTTCTAAGATCTTCTCGATCTATACTATATAATCACGTTATATGATTCTTACTATCACGTAACTTCGTTATATACTTCTATAATTCTCTGTAATACTATTATATATTACCCGAGCTTCAAGTTATAAAGTTAGCGTTCGTAACATTTTAGTATTAATTAGACATGTTTCTTATATTCGTAGATATTCCCGGAATAAATCAAGATGTCGTCTAAATAACAGATAACAAATTTGTCTAAATATTCTTATAGAATATTATTGTTTTAGTATTAATATATTACTAGTATATTAGTCAACTTAAATAATATAACTGTATATTCGTATAATCTTGAAAGTACGAAGAAAGTAGTTTTCTATTTATATTTTTCTTTAATCTTAATTAAATTAAAAGTATTTCGTTAATCGATTTTTATAAATATTTTTATTTTAGTTAATCTATTCTATAAATACTAAATATTAAGTAACAGATATTAGTTTTATATTATAATGTCGTTTAATTTATAAAAATTATTACAAAGTCTTCTATTAAAATCTCTTTTCTTTTTTATTATTAATATATTTAATATTATTAGTAATTTAAATAGTCGAATCTATTTTTTCTTTAATATTCTTTATATATATTCTTCTAACATCTTAGTAATATCGTAGTAATATTATTATAATTTCTCAGAAAGTAGTTATTATTCTTTTTTCAGATTAATTTCGTAGTTTTATAGTTAATATTCAAGTAAAATATATATATTTTCTAGGTTTTCGAATAATCTCTCGAATTTTTTATATTATATAAAGATCTTCTTACTACTTTGACTAATATTCTATAGAAGACTTTCGGCTAAGTATTTTAGTATATTAAAAGAAATAATACTAACTTCTTTCCAGCTTTCTAGTTATTATGAACTTTTATAATAATATCGACTGAATTTTAAAGTCTTGTTAGTTTAATCGATCTCAGAATTATATTCGTAGATCTAAGTTATTTCCAAAATAACTTAATATTATTTTATTAATATAATGTAGAATTGTATATCTACTAAATAATTATCTTTCGTTTCTAGTTTTGAAAAGACAGTTCTTTAGTTAATTATTCTATTATTGTAATTAATTTATATACTATCTATTATTTGTAAATTATAGAATATTATTCTAGTAAATAGAATATTCAATTTAGCGATAATTACAGAGGAAATATAATTGTTATTAGTTCTAGAATTAATTATTATTCTGAGTTTCTTTTTTCTGAATATTACTTCAACGTTTATATAACTTTACTTTCCGATTATATTCAGCTCAAAAGAGTCTTATAATAGTTCGTAGACTATAATATCTCTGAACTAATCGTTCTATATCTAGTAGTTATTTTCTTATATTATTAGTCGATATAATATATCTATTCTGAATATATTAGTTGTTAGTCGGTAGAAGTTTTACTAAGTATATTCGTAGTATTAATTCAGAATAAATACTACTTTTCTCTAGATCTTTTAGTAAAGTCTAGTTGTTAGAACTTCTTATATATCTCCAAGTTCTAAAATATCTACTAACTCAGATAGTTTATCTCTCAAGTTAATATTTTCGATAATAACTTTCTCTGTTTTTATTATTTTGAAAGTAACTTTTTTTATATTAATATAAATAACTAAATATATCTGATACTTTTCTAACTTGTTATTAATAGTTACTTTTAAGAGTATGAAAATATCTCTGTTTTC